AATTAAAGTCAAATTCTCATTCTATCAAATACACTCTATAACTGATCAGTGAACTGTCGAACTTTGTTGATCAATTGTATTCGATCGCTGTATTGTTGGTTTCGGCTGTTAACACTCGTCAACGCATCCAGTAAATAGTAAATACTATAGAATAAGAAATCGATTCGAACTGTGAAGTGAAATGAGACAAAGTGAATGATAAAAACTCATCAAGAGAACGATATTCGCATGAAATAGCTATGAGAGTGAATACAACACGTCTGAAAAGAATGAGAATCCATCTGAATCAGTTTGAAGTGAACGTGTCACAGACAATAGCTTTTCATGCAATCATAATCGAGTCATTCACGCCATTTACATGCAATTCCCCAATCATTTCAACAGCCCATTTGATGCTTAATGATGCACTTAATAATCCAAATAACATCATATACGCTAAACGTTTGACTCATATCCTAGTGAATCAACCAGGTCATTTCGTGTGCATTTTTCAATCTTGTGCACTCAAACAAATTCATGTATCAAATTTGCAGTTCCTATAAAATGACAACGAAATTAGTTCTGAGCAATCGTTGAGAAACAAAACTGCTAGGGTATTTCGAACATTCTTCTTAAAAATATTGACTTTTAAGCTACAGTAAGCATAAATATCTGATCAATGCATCCAAATTGCCGTTAGTAATGTCATTAATAAATACAAGTATCACTTGTGCACACTGATATAGGCCATTAATACTCTGATGAACTCGAATGAGACGATAATGCATTGAGAAATTTGTATTTTAGCACGTTGGTGATATGTGGTAAAGCGTGCAATTTCATATTGTTCTGCTTGAGCAGTAAACACTTCCGACGACGTTTGAAGTTGTCGACGAAACGAAAAATGAGTCGTCAATTCACGAAGATATCGGTTGGAGTGATGGATATCACTTCGACGGCACAACGTCGAATGAGTCGTGCACAGCAAAGCATTCTGAATCCGTTGTATGTCGCCACCAGGTGGTCAGACTGTTTGTTTTTTTCAGACCGTATTCTTTTGTTTTTTCATCAGTTCGTGAGAAATTCCTCCTTTGTAAACTATCTGAATGAAACGAATCAAAAAGAGAAAATCTAAGTCCCACGTTTAACATATGGAGTTTGAAAAAAAAGAGAGAAAATTCCATGTGGACTCGGAACGGAACTTTGATCACTTGCTTTCGCACTGCAAATAGCCGTTTGTTTCGCCGTAAATGTTATCAGTTCACCGTTTTCATACGGCCATCTGTTCAGTAACATGTTAACTTAAGCAACTTCAGTGCTGACATTTCTTTAAGGACTGGTGAGCGACTCGCACGGAAAGCCGGCTAGCTTGTCAGCACTCACGGCTGCTATTTCAATGTTGATACACATACGGATGTTGAGATGAACTGTAGCTGTTTCTTTTGATGTTGTCATCTTCACTGCATTATCCTCGTCATTTAGCATCGTTCTTCATATCACATCACAAAGTACAACGATTTATCTCATAATTTTAATCGCACAACAAATTTTGACCAATATTGCTGCGATTAATCTTTGTTACACATCAGTGATATTAAGGACTGGTGTGCAATTCGGCATGTTAGTGCAAAAATGAATGAGTGGATGGTTTATTCGTCGAAAAATCGAATTAAGCGAATCACATTCGAAGGCTTACTTCAAGTGATCAAAACGCGATAAAGAGCAGTGCAGAATCGTCTTTGAAGTCGATTTCTTCTAATTTAAAGGAAGGATTTGGAATGACTTGAACATTTGAAGAATTATGTTCATTTTGAGAGTTTGTCCGATGCTTTCATAACCACTGCATTTTCACTGTGCAATAATTCTAACACGATATTATAAGGGTGTCAAATTTTCGTAATCAATCCTCTTTGAATCGATCACAACAGAGCAGATTTGGTGAGACATGTATGTCATCTGTAGGAAAAGTAATGAGATGCTCAGTCTGCCATATCGTCTGAATTCAGTTTAAAGCATTTGAGATTTCCATTTCATAATATAAATTCGAATAATGTTGATCTCATGTTGAAATCTTTTGATCTAGTCTAAATGTTCAGTGCTTTTATAATGTATTTGTTGGTTTAATAAAGTATTGTTTTAATTGTTGAATAATGAAATGTTTTGAACTGCATTCATATGTTCGTTTAATATTCAGTGTTCTTTATTTCCTTTATTGAAAATTATTGTCGTGTTATTGTGTGTGAAATAAACGTTCAAATGTGATAATTTGTATTCGCACTTATGAATCATCATAACAAATGTTTCGGACAGGCAATTACATACGAAAGGTAATTAATTCACTTATGAATAGGGCATCGTTAGAGAGCATCGAATACAATCTCTAAGATAGTGTTGTGCGGGGAGGAGAGCAAAATGGGTCGGGGACGGGGATGGGGAGAGTCCTCGAAAATGGCCGTCGCTGGAAAATGGTCGGGTGGGGGGACCCCGAATTCGGGGACTCCCCGCACGACACTACTCAATGAGGCAGTTTTCACTCGAATTTGGCAACGCTCAAAATGTTTGATGAAAATCTCTCGAAAGCAATCCTCCACGTGCACTCGTTGAATATGTCTAAATTGTGCAAATGTTTCAAACGCGAATCATATAATCAAGAACATTAGATCACATTTCGCTTTTAAATGTGTTAAGCGAACTCATTGAGAGTTAAGCAAAAGACGATTTGGGCTTATCGATACGAAAAACTGTTATTACTAGGCAGAGAGCGAAATGTCGAAGAAAACCAACTGGTGATAGCGAACGAGGAACACGATCTGACATCCGAACAGAGAACAATAATTCTTTCTGCCCATCAGTTTCGATTCAACTTCATTTTCTTCTATCATTTGTGGATTGGGCTAATCTCAGTAAATCTTGTTTCTCGTTTCACATTCTGTTCCATGTTCGTCAAGCCTTGTCGAACTCTTTTCGCGGATTCGTTTAGTCTGGCGGCGCAAGGTTATCGCATTTCTCGTCTTTTTCTCATAGTGTGTTCGCCAAATTGCACCGAACTCTTTTCAGCGTGCTCGATTGGTTTAACCATACACATACATGTCCTGCATATATCTTCGCTCGCAACTCTCACTATCGATGTTTCTCGACAATCGCACACGAGATCGATCGTTACCGGAAACGTCTCAAATCTCGTTTCGTTCGCGTCCGTCTGTCTATCATCATTATCGTGTGAGCATTACACGCTCGCCGCGAACAAATCACTAATACTTTGCTCTTTTTCCAGTTACCATCGATTCATATTCATTCAATTTCTCATGATCTAACCGCCGTCTGCTTCAATGAATTCAGATTGAACGAGATTTCAAATATTCATATCTATCCTGCAATAAGCTTCGAAAATATTTCAGTGAGAGATAAAATTTCTCACCTAATTTTCTATTCATCGCATATCTACTCAATTAATTATATCGGCTGGAATTCAAAAGATTTTTCAATACTTGCAATTGCTCGCCCAGAACTCAATATTGTTATACTTGTTGATACAATCTTACAAAATCGTTGATATTTATACGACTTATGAACAATTATTGTTCACAACCAGAGAAAATCAGTGATCATTTCAAAATCCGAATTTAATGAATTCACTGAATGTTAAGTTATATGTTCAACAGAATTCTGTTTCCCTTCTGATGACCGCTTTTGACTTCTTGAAACTTTGATAGCGTGCGAACGGCGAATGCATTGTGGAAATCTGGATGAATTTTAAGGGCTTTTCGACTTGATCTGGTATGAGTGTTACGCGATCGAGCAATCGCTCAAAGCGACTAACACTGCCAGCAGCAGCAGAGAATTCACTGGATATAGATTCATGCAACACTGAAGTCATTTGTGAAGCACAACGAGTGCAGCAGCAGCAGCAGCAAGCACAAACTGAACAACCAGCAACTGAGACTATCGCAAGTCGTACTTATACGAGACTGCATGCGAGACGATTGAAACATCCTCGTGCCAAACTGAATAGCGCTTTATGGGCACATTTTGAAGAGTGCACAACCGATCGAACTTCATCCATATGTAAGGTGGAGACTTCACCGGGAGTGATGTGTGGCTGTCGTATACGGCGTCCACAAGGTAGTACAACAGGCATGAAGCGACATTTCAAAAGTAGACATCCAGAGCAGTTCAAACTGTATTTGTTCAACAAGATTCAGAATCTAACGAAAAACGGCATTGCAAGTCAAGATATTAATGAGTTCAAAAAACTGCAAGCTGAACAAGAGCAAAGCGCTAGCAAACCAACCAAATCCCACCATATCAAGAAGCAGTGTTGCACTCAATCAAGATCCTCACCTCATGAAAATCGCTCAACTTCTGCCCCTCTCGATGATAGCAGCGGTCGTTGCATCGTCCCGAAAGCGGAATCTTCGACTTTGAAGTATGGCCTGAATTCGATTCAACAAAAACAAATCGATTTCCATATTATGACTTTGATGGCTCGATCAAATTTGCCGCTCGAACTAGTGGATGGAAAGCCATTCAAAGAGTCGGTTTTGTTTTGCATTGATCAATTTCTTTGGACTCCTTCGATAAATCGTTATATATCCAGCTGAAAGTATTCTCAGAGATTAGCTTGAATGACTGGCTGTACTTCGTGAGGGATTTTCAGCTTAAACAGTTTGTTCCCAAAATAACTATGGATTTCATATGCAATTGAACTTTTTTTGCCTTCCCGAAGTTATCATCTGAAGAATTTTGAGTTGGAAAATTTCTGATGATCTAACTGAAACAAGCTTTTAGTTGATCTGAATAGAACCATTTTGTTTGTTTGAAATTTATTTTTCAAATAAAATTCTCTTTTCATCGCATTATCTTACTGGATGTTTGTCATGAATTCTACAGAAACGAAGATCAAACGTGCATAAATTTGTGAAGAATCTTACGTTTTCATTTAGGTTCATTGAAGCACTCGATCCGTATGCAAACGTCAAACACTCATCGGTATTCCGCAATCACCTCTGCGATCTTCTTTATCGGAGCGTTAAAGAGGCAGTTGATGCCGAGCTTAACGCCGACCTACCACAAGTCTCCGGAATTTGTTTGACGGCCGATAGCCATCCGTCCGAGTGGGGCGATAAGCACGAATTGATCACATTGCATTATATCGTTACTGACACTGATAATCGTTTTCGCTTACGTAAGGTTCGCATTCAGTTGATAATTTTGAAATCATTTTAAAAAGTTTCATAAAACCTTAAGCACCAAACAAAAACCAGTATCTGCCTCTTCAATATTCATTCATTAATCTACTGAATGATTATTATAACAAAATTTTTTACTACTATTTTCACTCTCTCATCGGAGACCAATTGATCTTACTCTGTGCTGTATTTGCTCACTTTAGCACAGAAAACTTTGCGAGTTCCTAATCTCAATAAGCAATCGTCTTTAATATTTTGTTATCATTCCGGAAATTTCATGAAATACTTGATGGAATTGTTAAAGTTAAGCGATCAAATGTTAAACTTGCATATTCTAGAGCCAATAATGAAGTGAAGAATTCAAGATTCCAATCAAATTCCCATATTCAAATGTTTTCGTAAGCGTCTGATCCGAATTTTTGTTTTTTGCAGTTTTGCTTGGCGTGTCCGAATTTCAATGAACAACTCAGTGCTGAAACTGTTCCGGTAGTATTGAACAAGATTGTCACCGATATGATGAATGCATCGTTATCGGAGCACATACCGAAATATTTGGTGGTTGATGAGAATAGCAGTTTAATACAAGACGTCGCATGGTTCCGTAAAATTCATGTGCAATCACCAATCGTGTATTTTGGTCATATTTTGAGCGCTGCAGTTCGGCTGAATATAGTGGTTGGTGAATTGGGCGTGCTCTTGGACAAATGCAAGAAACTATCACTAATATTGAGCCGTTCTCCAGAGCACACCAAGAAACTGCAAAACGCTTGTCGGCTCAGAAATATCCCATTCAAACGTATCCCACAGCCAGCAGCAGCTGGCCTCGAGTGGAACACGATCGTGAAGAGTTTACGAGCTATTGTTGACCTGAAAGATGCATTGCTGTGGTGGAAAACAAAGGAACCACTGAGTGCTTTTTCATCATCCATACCGACTGAAGAGAATTTCGACTGGTTAAGGGAACTTTTGATAGCGTTGAAAATTTTGAGCGATTGTTACGAGACACTCGCACGTCCGAATCAACCAACGATACATTTGGTCACCACATCGTTGCTTTTGATTTCGAAGATACCGAAAGGCACGAGCACCATCGTGCAACGTTTCGTTGAGGCTATTCAACATGAAATCAACGAGAAAGTGCCCAACTTAGGGCGTGCAATTGAAGTGTACAATCTGGGTAACTTTCTGCATCCAAAATATAAGGGACGCTTATTGTCAATCGGCGGAGATCGTGTAACGCTCGAGAAAACGATTGAGGCAGTTCGAAAACGCTTCAGAGAAGGTGAATCTCATTGATTGGGAAATCACTCATACGATTATTCCATTGAATTCTTTCAACGAAGTGACCGACCGTATGAGTTGATCTGCAAATTTAGCGTTTTATTATCATTTTGGTTTGTGCATTTCTCTTCCAAATTTTACACTGTTGTGAAAACTGAGGTCAGTTGCTGAAATTATAAACGAAATAATTTCGCTTTCTGATGAACCGTATCTAAATTGCTTTATTAGCTTACAATTAGCAAATAAAGTTCAAGATTATTACATATTACTGAAAATAGGAATTGCTTTTAAACATTTACCTTGAATTAATATAGAAGTAATATTTTGATGATAGCACAGATGTGGAGTGCTTGGAATACGACGAAAAATTGTCGAGTCAGAGTCGACTAGAATCGATGTTGAGCAGAGCAATGTGCAACAACTCGACGTCCTCATCGATTTGGGATGCCGTCGATGAGGCGGCCGTAGCCGAGAATTTGATGGAGCTGAACGGATCGCGGAATGCAGTTCGGAAGCCGGCAATCGACGTGGAGATCGAACGTTACATCCGCGAATATCCACAAGTGGACGAAACCGAACTGGACATCCTCGCCTATTGGTCGAATCAACAAAGTGATCTGCCGAAACTGACACAACTTGCCCGCGAGATACTCTGTATCCCGACGACAAATTCGAGCGTATTTGAGTCGAGCAGTGACTTCTCTTGTGCGAGTAATCTTTCCGCGAATATCTGTGAAGAGAAGATCGAGAAAATGTTATTTATTCGCCAAAATTACGATCGATTATCGCATCGAATTTTGGCGACGGATTTTGGTGACGATCAATACGAAGGGCCGAAAGGAAAACTGCCGGATCATACTGACTGTGGTCAAGACGAGCAAATGGCTACAGACGGAGACGGTGTCGTAAAAAGCGAGCTGGAATTACCGACTGAAGCTGTGTCACGGGCATCAACTGCGCGAAACAGTGACATTATGGAGTTTAATTCAGAGAGTACGCCACGGAACTGTGATACTCTTCCACCTCAACGGCAAGTTGCTGAAGGCTCGTGTGAAGGTGCTGAAATTTTGCATGGGAATGGCGAACAGATGAACGTTGATGATATCTACAAATGTTTATTGACAGTTGGTGCTATTCCACAATCCTGACCGATCTTATTAATAATGACTGCATTGTGAGGATCAAGATAAGAATTGAAATGCACACAGTTTCTCACTTATAATTAAGATATATTGAAAAATTGTTTTGTTATAGATGTGGTGAATATTTTTCATTCATCTGTTCGTATATCACTTTCATATCTTTTCGGTTTACGGTCACATTGGAATTTACGCTGTTGGGAAATGATAGAAATTTTTGAACATGTGTATTGCTGTGCTATCCCTCGTGTATCTCCCTGTTATTTGAGGATGTGCTTAATTCTTGCGTTTGCATCGAGCGGTATGGTATCGCTCTATTGTAGAGTTCGCGTGATGCACAAGGATTATATGTTCATTGCTGATTAATCTGCCTGAAACGTTTTTTAACTTCAAATAAACTTTTCGTTTAGTTTGGCAATGGCAGAATTTATTAAGCTGTATTCGGGATTTGTTTCCAACCCTAAAAATTGATTCGGTGCACAACAAATCGTTCTGAGGATGAAAATAATATCGGATTATACGGAAGTTATGTCGCTTTGCGTGACCGGTACTACCCATCATTCAAATATGACGCGCCTGATCTTTGGGAGACCGCTGCGAAATAGTGGAATTTTGTGAATATGGAAGGAAAAATACTCCTGGAAGCACTTGTGACAATGAGATCCTCCTCAACACTGGGTGACTCAACGTCAAAAACAAGGATTTTGTTAGAGGACTGAGTGCGCATGAACCTAACTTCACATGTACATTATCATCTAACGGAAGATAGTTTTGTTGCTGGTTAGCAATCAACATATGAAAGAGTGAATGTTGATGTTGCACGAATAGTATATCGTGCGATTATTTTGTTTGGGTGCAAAGTAATGTTCAATGCCAAACACACTCGCACTGCGCCAATGCTATAGTGGCAATGAACAAGACTAACTGCACATGTACTGCTTTCGTTATCATATGATACAACATAGTTTGCTGGAATGTTGCTCATAGTCAGTAGTTTCCTCGAACAGTGCAATGAACGAGTGAATGTTAATGCTGAACGAATATCATGCGATTATTTTGTTTGGGTGTGCAGCAGACATGCGAACTAATGCTTAATGCCAAACACTCGCATTACGCCAATACTATAGTGGCAATTGAAGTAGTGAACGTTCGCGATTGTGAAACAGCAATTGCATGGAACGGAAGTGGTGATGCAAATGATTATTGTGAATAAACATTCTGCACTGTTCCATTGAAATTGGATTTCGCTCGTGTTTTTATGCGTTGTTTTTGGCATCCGAAGTATTACTCTATCGAGTAACTCGGAAAATTTTTCATCAGATTTTCTTTAGTCATTGACGATAATTTTTTCAACACGTGTGCACAATTTCGTGTTCTTCTATCAAAAAGAATTTTCATTGTGTGTGTTTCGTCTCATTTGATGTGTAGCATCACTGTTACGTTTCATTTTTAACGATCTTTCGGTTCGGAATCATTTTATGAGCGCTTCTCGTATGTGACGACATTATTTGCTTGATTATATCAGATTAAGCAGCATATGTATGCTTCAGACGGCATTCACAACGAAACGTGAGTGTTCCCAGTTTGGTTCGAATGTTTCCAAAATGCGCTCAAACTCTTTCGGGTCATCTGTGCCATCCTCATTGTCATCCGATCCCGCTTATGTGGTTAGTTCCATTTTCGCCTTTAGCAGTCACTCAAAACAGCGATCTGAACTAGTTACGGTTGGTGCAAACTTCCGAATGAAAACTGAAATACGACGAGATCACAGAAGTTCTAACTAACCCATACTCTTCAGGCATACAACTGTCACGATTTCCAACGGTGCCATGACCAATTGGTGAATGCACGGAATCAGTGCACGCTAAATGAACTCGAGAAACGACGTCTGTCGGCGAATCTTCGCTTGTGTGAGGCAACTCGAAACGCTGGTGTGTTCAGCGCTGAATACACGAATTCGATGCTTCAACTTTTTCCTGAGGTTACTTTCGTTTCATTTGCAGTCACTTTCATATGGTTTTACTTTTGCTAAATGATGCGACGTCAGATGTTTAATCGAGATTTATATAAGTGATATGAGTAATATTTCAGTTAAGAACACCAATAAATCGACCATTACGAACGCGTGCCGAGGCATTTGCTGCCTTCAATTTGGCGTTGAATGCATTTGCAAGGGGTAATCGACGTACAGCCATTCAACTTCTTCAAGCAATCCTTGCCCTGAACGGTCTACCAGGTTTGAGAATTTAGAATTTCACAAATACTTCATTCAGACTTTGTATTACTGAACTCTAGGAAATAAGAAGATAATCATATGCTGAGTGCTACTAATCGGGTTCATTTTTTTGTTGTTGTAAGCGAAAGCTGAACGAAACGATACGACCGTGATTATTGAAGAAGAGGAAAACTATATCGTTCACGTTTCAGATAAATTATTCTTTGTTGTGTCGTTGCTCGAAATCGAAATGAGTCTAACGTTGTGTCAACCGAAATTGGCTCTGAAGCAAGTGTTACGTTTACGTGATAATCAAACTTGGCGACGTGCGCAAATAACACAAAAAGATTATTTGGATTGCTTGGAGTGTCGTATAAGATGCCGACTTGCACAGACCGCTTCACTTGTTGATCACCTGCAAAAACCGCAGGTATTGATGGAACACGCTTCATTGCTGCATCAGTCCAATTAACTCACTCCTCATCTGTATATATCATGTTGTATAAGATTGTTGCATTTTGTTATGGACAGATTTCTGCACGAGAAATACACTGCATCGATTTCTGTTCAGAATGTATTGTTGTCACTTCACTGTTGTTTGAATGATGATTTAGTTTTGATTCATATTTAGAGCACTGCAAAGAAACTGATTTTGTTTGTTTGAAGTGTTGTAGACATGAAGTTGAATTCATCAAGCTTCTGTATTATAGATTTTGCAATACAAAAGCTTTGCAGTTTTGCAGTCTCGCAGTATTTTGCAATAGAAGCTCAGCGTGAAGTTACTTCATTTCATTGTATTGCAGATTTTGCAATGGTGTTTACTGCAGTCTGAGTTGGATATGAAGAACGGTAACGCTTCGAGGGCACTGAGTCGACTCTTGAAATTTCGACCATCACTTCAAGTAAGTTCTTTTTTTTTGTGCGTATATGATTCGTTATCCCTATGAAAAAAAAAGTAATTGTCATGAGCAATAATTCAGAAATAAAGTAGCAGTTTGTTTGCAAAATGTTGTGTGCCTTCAGAATTTTCACATGATTTTAATTTGAGGACGAAGAGAGACGTTTGGTGGACAATGCGATTGGTTGCGTTTATGCGTTATCGTTGAAGAAGGCTGAGCTGGCCGAATCGTATTTTCGTTCAGCGATGTTCAGCGATAAAAAGAAAAGGAAAAGGTCAGTTGGCTGATTCATTAGTCGTGTAAATTTTTTCATCATTGCTCCTTTGAGTTGTTTGATTAAAATCTTTTATTTATCTTCAAGTTTCGTTAAGATACGTGATGAAATTGATTAATTAGTTCATTTGAGAAGAGTTTTGATGAAGATTAATGATTAGATCGCTTGGTTATTGGAGCGGAGCGAAGGATAATGAATATATTTTTTTGTATTAAGCTGGCAAGAATCGACAATTCCACGGCATTGCCTGATCTATCATGCCGCATTGGCGCAGCTACATTCTGGGCAAGCCGAGTCAGCGTTTCTTTTATTTCTTTCCGTGGTGTCCTCATATCCAAGACAACCAAGAATTTGGTTACGTCTAGCTGAATGTTGCATTCATGCCCTCTCAAAGGTTCGTTTGTTTTGTTTCATGTCTTATCTCATAAGTGCTAGGATAAAGATGTCATTATGAGCATTCAGAGTCATTGTTTGATAGATGAATATGGGGATGGAAAAGAATTTCTGATCGTTGTTTGAAAATTTTCATTGATTACTTCGAGGAGGTCTACAGTATGATATGTATCTGATCTTGAAAAGTTGGGTTGTGTTCGTGATCTTTCCTTGTTATCATATGGATTGTGTATATTTGTTAAAGAACGGAACTGACGAAGAGACGGGTAATGGTGGACGTAACGGAAATGCTGTAAATACAGTTGTGAAACAGATAATCGGGTTTGGTAACCACCGGTACGTTGCACTTTCGACGGGACAGGCGAACAGCAGCATGAAGAATGCCAGCTTGAAGTGAGATTTGGCTCTGATTTGTTCGGTTATTTCTTGTTGTTGGTTAGGTTTTGCAGAATTGAAAAGCTATCAGTATCAACAATGTCTGTCCAGGTTGTAATTGGTTCGAAAAAATGTCCCGAATAAGTAGAAATTTGGATTAGGGTTAACTTGGTCATTGGACTTCATGAAGAGATGTCATTCAAAAGCAAAATTATTTGAGGGAATTAACAAATCTGAAGAAAATATTTGGAATTTTTGACTTTCTGTTGAGACAATGTAAATGCTTTAGTGCCCAAAGCAGCTCGCAGTCTGATGACCGTTTGTCAGCCAACGAGATAAGTTGGGAGTATGCGGCACAATGCATTCGAAATGCATTGGTGCTGACAGGTGGTGAACGGGATTGCGTATATCTCCTGCCATGGCTGTATGCAGCGTCGGCTTTCATTAATCTCAATCTGGGAAGGTTCGGATTGGCACTTTGGGCTGCGACTCAGTTGGCCGGCTTACCTCAAGTATCACCTCATCATAAGTTATTGGCCGTTCTTTTCAAGGTAAAGCATATTATATTGATAGTGGATCAGTAGTTATTTATGCTCATTATCATCTTACAATTAGGACTGTTTATGTACGAATTTCAAAAAAGTTCTGTATTTCATAAGATAATTTATTTTAACGTTGAAGTTTTTCTTTTAAATTGTTGGACATTGCTCTTCCAGATAATGAATTTGAAAGTGTATTCATTTATGAGTTGTTTGTGAATGTTTCGGAATTTCACTGAAAATATTTTGAAAGTGAGTTCAGCCATCGACTTTAATAGAAGGGTAATGATTGTAGACTGAAGCACTGGTGCTGTTGGATAGGCTACCAGAAGCAATGGAAAGTTTATCGCAAGCTGTCCCACTACAGTCAATGCCCAGCACAATATCGGCTGTTATCTACAATCGTGCTCTGTTGCAAGCGTTGAGTGGAAATCTACACAAGTCATTGAATACACTTTCTATGGTATGTGTGGATTGTTGTTTGTTAACGTTCTGAATGGAATTCTGCCTAGGATTATCTGTAATCGAGTTGATTTAGAGCTTTGGACAGGGAATTTATGGTTGTAGTGATCTAATTAATAACGTTCGAATTGAAGTATAAATTTGAATTCGTTTGGCTTTATTGTTCTCATTTTATGTTTATTCATGAGCATTGCATCGTGGAATTGTTTTAATGTATTTTTGCAGTTGAGTGCGCAACGTGATACTGTGGTACCTGCAGAAGCGATTCCTCTAGAAGTGTATTTGAATATTCGACTCGGAAAGGGTGCACAAGCGAGAAGGATTATTGAAGAGCAGTTGAAGCAGATGAATAAAGGAACAATCTCTTGAACGGGTTATGTGAATGGTGGTAGTGGCATCAGTTCGATCAACTTCACTCAGTAGATTCATGTAACTGAAATGATGATTTTCGACATTTTCATTAGATGAATTCAATTCGAGTTTCTTAATACAACCCTTCAATTTAATTATTTTAAAAGTTAGTATGCGAAAACGAAGCGTAATTGCAAGAAGTTATGTAGTAGTGAAGTGGTTCATTTAAAATGCTGATGAGGTATGCCAGTTTATATCATTTGCATCAAGTTTCAGTTCGGAGTATTCGTAGGATAGGTACTTTGTGTATTAGTTATTAACAATAAGGGGTATGTTGACGGTGCTGCTCGTGTTCATTTTGTTCTATTGCAGTTGTCGCAGTTGTTCTCTTCAATGCACTCTTTGTTTGATTGTTAGTGCCAAATGCAACAGAAAATCATTAGAATTACATAGAGAAATATTGTTTCAGTTCTAGACGAACAATACATTAGAGTATTATATGTATGGAAGTTTTATTTTTTGAAGTTTCGTGTGAAAATTCATCGATTTCATGCACTTGTGCAATTTTATCATATGAGCGATTTGCTTATCGTTAGATAGCCGTTTGCTGTGTGCATGCTTAGATTGACAGTGGATTAAGTTGATTGTTCCCGGAATATAGTGAAGTCTGAGGCGAATGACTGTTGGAAATTTCATTTCCTTCTCTTGCCCATCGTTCAAGGAGGAGTCGTTACGGTCATCGTTTACTGTTGTTGTCTCATCAGGTGTATGTATACCTGTTAGGTGCACCTGTATTAACCTGCCTGTTAGTTTTTATTTTTTTCGTTGAGAACTAATATTGCACGGAGATTTTTTATTCGTGTAATTTGTTTGATCCGTTTATTTCCTTTCCGGTTATTCTATTATATGCTGGCAAATTGATTTCGTTCCGTTTCGCTTCATTTCTTTATTCTTTCATTGATTTGATAATTTTGGTCATTTGGGAGAATTTCAATTTGATTAGTAGGAGGACGAACAAAGTCAAAGGACGCATGCAATGAGTATTTTAAAAAAGTGCATTTTTAGGTAGTTTCTTGTTTTTTTGCTTCCAATCTTTTGAGTTTAAATAGTTGCCATGTTGCACAGCATAAAGTCAAGCTCAGTGGTTGTACGGGTATGTGAAAGCAAACGAACGCAATGAAAAGCGACTGGGTTGCTTTTGCGGAAAGAATTATCATAATGAGTGATTATATTGTGTTTTTTGCACAACAGGTCAATTTATTACGTCGCAATTTATTCTAAATAACAACAGAGTCTGAAAGTAAAATTTGGAAGTTAGGGATACTTTAGAGCAGAGATTTTCTATATTGCGAGAAATTGGGTTAATTTTTAGAATTACATTTGGAATTTGCTATATTCATTTCGATTTTGGTATGTTTTTGAGCTAATTGGAACAAGAAGTAGTTGATAAATCTCTTGTTCAGCATTCATTCACAAAATACGCCTGAGCCGTTATTTTTGTTGTTGTTGCTGTTATTACAATTATTATTTTACATACTCGCTTATTGCTAAATGTTGCAAATTTGTCTGTGACAAATGTTGTGATGGTGATGATGTTAACGATATATTTATGATTAATATGATTTATTGTTGCGCTTTTGCCATTTTCATATTACAATCAATCGATGAATTATTAATAAACTTCTATTCACTGGAATCTTTCGTTTGTACACCACTTTTTAATGCATTTCACAAGCACTTTGGTATAAATTTTAAAGCAAATGTCACAGTTAAGCACAATATATAACATCAACGAAGATAATTCGTACAGAATAATTTCGTGGAATCCATAACTGACGTGAATCTAATTACAGTTCATTGCTTTTGTGGATGAATATTAACAATTATTTTGAGAATTGTTCGTATTGTGAAATTTGAATTTGGTTGCAATTGTTTAGCATTTACAACAACGAAATAAAACTCGAAGAGCATAAGTAATCAATTATGGGTGTGATCGAGTGATCTGTGAGTCGGATGCTTTCAAACACACACTTCAAGCCTGTCATCTCCGCTAACTGCCAGTCGAACTGTCTGAAAATATTCAAGAATCCATCAAATTCTGTCAAAAACAAAGATTGACATGGTTCCTGAAATGTTGGACTGTTCAATAAGCTTCGTTTCAGAATTGAGGAAGCAACAGATCATTAATAGATCAAACGATCAATTTGTTAAGTTCAGAGATGTAACCGGAATAAGAAGAAGCGATCTTACACTAGGAAGGAATCCATGTCATCGTCAATTTGGATCACACGAAATGGCCTCGAGACACTGCAATTGCAGTGAAAAAGTTGTGGACAAGGATCTATCCAAACGATTGAAATCAAGTGAATCTGTGCAAAAAGAAAACACAAACTGAGAAACTGTCACGAAGAGTGGATAATTCAACAACCTTTAGAGCATCTCTGAAATTCAACGTGGCCCTATCAACCAGACCTTGGTCTGCAGCGAATGTAATTGTCGACTCGACCAGTAACGAAAAGCATATACGATTCCTAACCACACTGTATCTGAATTGTCTTACACGTGAGCAGGCTTTCAGTAGAGACATTTGACGACTCGTTTGCATCTTTAAATAAAATTTCATTCAGTTCACATATTCTTAACAAGCACATAATGATCAGATTGCTGATCAAATTGCTCTCCGTGGCTGAGGTTCACGAGCATTGAACGATTCAATGCGAGTTTTCCGGGAGCAACTCGATCAAAACCGATTGGCTCGATCAGCCGATTCATTAACTGGAATCTGAATCTATGGGCTGGCCAGTGAAAATCATAGAACTGATTCAAATTCCTTGAGTGATTTCACGTGGGATCAGCTGATGTTTGGTATTTGCATTCTGCTAGTCAAGTTGTTCGCTCTGGTCAAGAATCGAACGCAAATTCCTTGTTTTGGGTCACCTGTTTGCAAAGCATTGACATGATAACGTAAGTGCCCGTACGACGTGTTCCTGTAATGCCGTGAACGAGTGTTGGCGGTACTTTGTCTTCATCCGCTAGTTTCGCCGATGCTTCCGTAGCCCAGACAGCTCGCATGAAGTCGAGAAATTTCCTGGGCTCTGGTGGCCTTGATATCTGTTCGAAGGTATTCTCACAATGGTAAAATTCCAAGGTTCCCTTTCTGATTTTAAGCTTACACTCAAATTACTAATAGTAGTACAAAGACTGTGGTATATTGATCGATAATCACTTGAGATTGAACATGCATGAAAATATGCACGTGATTAAGTCAAAATCTCTCAGCCGAGAGATATGAGTCTGAATTTTCTAATTTATTTAAGTACCGATTATTTCATAGGTATGTAGCTAATGCCACTCTTGAGCAGCTGATCTGCAGATAAGCGACATTGCATTATCATGGACGATCATAACTTGTGAGTTATCATGTTCAAGGTACCAATACGCTTAACTCTACTTGAGAGCAGCTTGACGGTTTATAATATTCTAGTAAATCATATAAGTGAAATTATAAGATCGCCGCATATCCTTCTGATTGATCGCGTTGTATTTCTTTCGAAAATACCCTTATTTGATTCAAAATTAATTCGAGAATGTACTAACAACTTTCCATTCAGTGAGATTGACCAGTTGCACCGTGCGTTCTTCATCCTTTACATCTTTATTTATCAACTTCAGATCATATATTTTGAAGGAACCATCTTTACGTGATGCTAACGTACGAACCACAAAACGTTTATGCTAAAAATCGCATGCAAAAGTTTTCCTGCAGCAGATCTGAATGCACTATTGTTTGGAAAATGTCACAAATCGTTTGAGCTGTGCACCTTTCCTATCACCAGATATATTCACTGAACCAGTGAAAGCTGTGGACGGTGCAGGTGCAACATGTCTAGAAATAAAAGTTCCACTACTAGCTCATAAGTTAACTGATTCTTTCAAGTCAACTCTCTCAGTATTACATTGCTAACAGAATGCTTTAAAGATCCCGCTGTAATGACACAATATATTCCACAGCATATATAAAGTGTGCAAAATTCATAAACGATCAAATTGGAACGAAATTTCCTGATGAAAAAACGGGATGCTCTTACTTTAATCTTCTTGCCAACTTGTTTCTCGAAATATTTGCTGCAGTCTTTTGGATCTGTCAGTGGTATAAGGCACACGATGACACCGATTTTTAGTTGCCATATCATACGGTACCAGTCGTTCAACGTATCATCTTTTGGACTCTGAAGGAGAAATCTAACAGTAAGAAATCATAAAAATATTATCCGTTTCATATTTCATTGAGTAGAAGAAAATCGTAACCTTGTAGATTCACAGATACTAGATAAGACATGAATGAAGCATGAAACGATCGATACCTCATAACAAATGCGGTCGATAGCTATCAAATTCAGTAAAGCCTTCTCATCAAGGCGATGTGATTAGCATGAAGTGATTGACATCATATTTAAATCGGAAACGCTAAACCAGTGGTTCTGATGTTCAGGTGCTCAATTACCCCTTTTGGTGATCTGGCTTACCCCCTTCCCTCCTCGGTCTGAGAGAAGAACTTAATATTCCTGCGTATAACGTCAGGAACAAACGGAAAACCAGTCCAGAAATTTCTCTGTGGTGTAAAAGAAATTAGTATCGGAGACCGTGGTGTTGCTTATTACTGCAATCAATTATGACTGCATGAAAAGCCATTGTCTGTGACACGCTCACTTCAAACTGATTCAGATGGATTCTAATTCTTTTCAGACGTGTTGTATTCACTCTCGTAGCTATCGCATGCGAATATCGTTCTCCAAATGAGTTATTCTCATTCCCTTCGTCTCATTTCACTTTACAGTTCGAATCAATTTCTTATTCCGCAGCAAATACTATTTAATGGATGCGTTGACGAGTGTTGACAGGCGAAATCAACAATACAGCGATCGAATACAATTGCTCAACAAAGTTCAACAGTCCAATGATCAATTATAGAGTGTATTTGATAGAATGAGAAATTGACTTTAATTGTTGAACGAAATGAATATGAAATCATCAGAGGAGAACACTTTTGATGATAGAAGCTATAAGAGCGATTGTAACAGCAAGGAAAAGAATGAAAACCCTGTTAGGCCCGGACGAGCTAACAACATTCAGGAAATCGGAAAATAAAGAGTGTTGCCATCAAGCAACCGCATTTACATTCCCAAGCTATCAAACTATCATAACATGTACGAAATATTAATTTCCCGACACCTCCGTTACTCCTTGACATCTCCGAATTACCCAAAATGGGTAATTTCACCCCCCCCCTATGAGAACCACTGCGCTAGACAGTCAAAATAGGAGAAGTGAAATAGATTATCAATAAATTACCTGAGCGAGAACGTAATTTCCGAATTTGCTTTTAATTTTGGTCGCGTGAATATATGTATCATCAGGTTTATCCGGTTTGGTTGGTTCCAGTGTTACGGCACCTTCGTCAAACAGTACAATATTTTTGTATCGATTCTTCTAGAATCATTTATTGTGATCAATATTTAAGCAGACTGATCTGTCAGAATTTTCAGAAGTTCAGAAATGGAGATGCATAAAAGTGACGCCTAGAGAATCCCATACTCTATCGAGCTAAGAATTGTTAAATTTTCCCATCCATATCGATTCCACTAACCATAGTGTTCGCGTTGAATGCATAGATATGCCGTTGTCTTAGACGCATAGCTTCATGTTCTGCCACCAAATATGATTTCACTAAAAATTCATCGTTATGTGACAAGTTTTGAGTCGTTTATACATTCAGATGACTGCTTTCAACAACTACACATTCTTGTAGAATAGCACGTCAGCAATAAATTGAGAAAAGCCCTTGAATTGGGGCTGTCGAACGCTGTTCAATCGGGGCTGCTCACTTACCTCCTGAAGTCATCTTTGTGATGAATTCATCAATGTCTTCACTCTTGATCTTCTTCTGCTTTGACTCTTGACTTGTTGCTACCGAGCTCGAAGCTAAAGCTTTCGACGATCACTTCGAGTATTCAATACCCTTTCCGCACATCCACACTCAGATCCTTTTAATGCTAGCTCTAAGCTTGAACTGCCTACACTACGATTGAAATGCGAATAAACCTCTCAATATGAAAAATTCATGACTTGACAAATTCCCCCTTCGTCTCATTTTATCTCAACTCGAACACTGAAACCAACCCGCCGGGTACTGAAACATCCGTCCGCTCTATCGCAGTGGTTTACGCAACCACTTCAAAACACAACGTAAACAATGAATGAGATGAAAAACTTTCGCTCAACGATATTATAAGTTCATAATTTCCATGGAATTCTCCCGTAATCAAATTTCGCTTTTAAGTGATTTGCAAGGAAATTTTGCATACAAATTTCCAGCAAGTTCACGCTTTTGCTCAAAAGGATAAGCGTGATAGAGGAAACAAAATGAGAATTCTTAATGGAGCAATAACTTAACAAATTAAAATAGCTGTTTCACAGCCCACATATTTTTCTGCGACTACAAGTAACGGTCTGTCAGCTACATCTCTGGAGGCATGCATATGGCTGAGGTCTGTTCAGTTGGTATATAGGAGTCTGCGTATTCGATCGTTTTATTGTTGCATAATGCACTACTATAGTAGTAACTAGTGTTCGTCGGGGAACGGGGTCCCCGTCGGGGACCCCGGCGGGGAACGCGGGGAGCGCTCCCCCCCGCGCAATTTGCTCCCCGACTTTTTCGCGGGGACCCCCCTCGTCCAATTTACTCCCCGCGGGGACCCCCCNCCCCCCCCCCCCGTGCAGAAGATTGCTCCCCGACGAACACTAGTAGTAACATAGATACCATATTCAAACGACCGGAATCCTCAGGTTTGCCCAGCAAAACAAAAATTCAGAAAAGTATGTGTGTTGTTAGCAAAAACTGCTTAAATCCTTGGCTATAGCCAGATTTCTGGAGGCATTCATACGGTTGAGGCGCTCAATGGCTCTGTCAAACTCTGCATATTTGATCTCTTTTTGATCTCTGTTGTATAATGAACTGTTTGTTTGTTACAAGTTTAATTTGAAATCATTTTGAAACGATCTGTATTCTAATCTTTTCAGGTTTTCACTAATGTTTTTAGATTATGAACGTAGCATCATAAGAAGATATCAGATAAGAGGTGAATGCGGCTCGAAAAGATGGCTGCACATAAAACGTCATAAAATGAGAATGTGTGTTATAATTTGCATGCAAGATATTGAGTTTATTGTTAAACTGCAACCGAAATTAATGCAAAATGGAGTGTTGTAAGATGCGATTGATCTTTAATGTGATTTTAATTACTGCATGTTGGCTGTGCAATCAATGTCACACCGTTTAATCAGTGTGACATTTTCCAGTTCGTTTGCATTCAATTTTTTTGTGATCACGTGTCCTCCTCTCAAACCTGTCACAATGATAAACGCGAAACATTCACTCTTCAACGCTTCGTATCGCCATCAATTTTGTTCGTTTTTGCTATCTGTAGTGAGTGCAATTTTAAATTAAGTAGCGTCATCAATCATCAAATTAGAAAGAAACAATAATACTCCACAAATTTTAAGTTTCATGTCTAACCACGTCTACACTTTGTGTTACTGCTGCCTGATGCCTGACTATGTCGATGAACTGTCTAATTATGAATTTTTATCTACTTATTACGTGATCATCTTGCTATTATTTAATTCATTCAGTACGTCGAAGACTTATTATCATTTGAAAAATATTCTTTAAATGAACAGTTTTTAGGTAGTCACTTCTAGGATGTCTTCGTTCGTTCACGTCAAATCCCTGCTATCAGCGGTTCTGTTTTGGATCATCATATTATTGGCGATATCACAGGTGTTGTGTATCGTTTTTTGTTCGGTTTTTAACTATTGTGAGCTTAATTCCCTATAGAGTGTTGATCAAAGCAAGGCAGTTGATCCAACTTTGCTTTTATCATTTATCACACTTTTATCATATCAGTGATATTTGATAATATTGTTATTGTTATATGATTTCATTCCACTGTCACTTGATACGAGTTTTTAAGCAGTTCCAAAAATATATCCAAATTACTCTGATGCAAGACTGCCTCTGTAAGATTGCCTCTGTAGAGTAATACTTTGATACTGGCAATTCAGGCATTCTTGCACAATTTTTGAAACTCTTTGGAAAATTGAGAGCAATTCACTTTGCTGCTTTATTGCAACTAAATGGAATTTAAAATAACCTTGGAGCAGCAATTTTTGAATAAGTGAAAGTTTCTTTTTCTTCAGCATTCAGTGAGTGGATGTGGTGATGGAATGTTCACGAGAGAGGAAGTGGCACAACATAATAAGGCGAATGATCTGTGGATTATCCATGACGGAACGGTTTGTTGCATAAAATATTTGTTTTTTACATTCCGCTCTAAACGCTATCAATTTTTCGTTATATTAATGTATCGCGATAATGGATATTAACTGTTTATTCCATCATAACATCGAATATTTCATATTACATTTGAATCGCTTTGAAATTATCTAATGTTATATATGCTTTAAGTGTATTGCTTCTCATGTTATATGTTTTAAGTGCGTAAGCAGAACCATGAGTAATAACTCTTAAAAGAAAGTTTTTTGGAGAGAAGAGGTGATTGATCGTGATCGTATTTTTTCGCATTTTCTTACAGTCAATACCGGCTTAGCAATTCATTTTTGGAGTTGTTTTTTCCATGCGAATCATTTTGCTTTTAATCAGTGTTGCCCTTTCCAAGAGTAAGTTCAATTTGTTGTTCCCGCACACGGAACAGGTTTTTGAGCTCCTGATAGCAAAAGAGAAACGAAAATTCTGTTCTTATTAAACAGAAGCAAACACTGTGGTGCATTCCAGGTTCATGATATGACATCTTTCGTCAACGAGCATCCGGGTGGTAAGGCAATCCTTAACAAGGCTGGACAGGTGAGTGTGAATCGCTGGACGCGATTGGGAATAGTTTATGAACTGTTCGGTCACGAATCTTCGATGATACTTCAGTTTTCTTGAGTCTTTTGAATCATTGCATAACCACAGAGATTCAACGTTTCGAAAATTTAAAGCAGCAGAAGTAACGACACGTCGCCTTTCTCGTATTGAACACATGACGGGACTCGAATCTAGACTTTAGCAATGTCGGAGAGTTTGTTTGTGAGACGAATAAATCGCTGAAGTGTCCACTTCGATCAGACATTCTTTATCACAATGAACGATTACTTGATGATCGGATGTTGTATTTTCAGGATGCAACGAAAGTTCTCCACACGTTCTCTCCACACGTTAAAGCGGCTGATTTTGTGATGAAGAAACTGAACGAAGCCTGTATTGGTGTTTTAGTTCAATAGTTGAATATTCAAATGAGTAATAAATGAATTTAACATTACACTACACTTCACACTGTTGTTTCAACGTGCAGGTGCAATCGTAACCACAGAAATGCTTCAAGCTGTTACGACGACTTTTGACATTACACAGCATCAATAAGCGAAAAGCGTTAAAAGAAGGCAACCATATAGGTGACATCAACATGATGCAATGCTTTTATGAAGATTCATGCAAAAAGTGGAGTAAGCAAACAGTCTTGTCGCATTTTCAGTATGGTAATTCACGTCGAATTTGTGCTGATTTCAAGTACATTATTCCACTGTTTTGTAGAATTCATGATATTCTTGCAAGCAATTTTAGTCGAAGATTCAAGTGGAAATTGTAAAGGGAAAACGCTGCAGTTGAAGTTGATAGATAGTCAAAAAATTCGATTCGTTCACTTTGAAAAAATGTGCCAGGTGAAGTGAGATCTGTATCATTAGCTCGTCCAGGCCTAACAGGGTTTTCATTCGTTTTAACAGGGTTTTCATTCTTTTCCTTGCTGCTACAATCGCTCTCGTAGCTTTTATCACTAAAAGTGTTCTCTTCTGCTAATTTCTCATTTATTTCAATCAACAGTTAAACTCAAATTCTCATTCTATCCAATACGCTATATAATTGATCATTTGACTGTCGAACATTGCTGAGCAATAATATTCAATTCTTGCATTGTTGATTTCGGCTGTCAACACTCGTCAACGTATTCAGTAAATAGTGAATGCTGTAGAATAAGAAATTAATTCGACCTGTGAAGTGAAATGAGACGAAGTGAATGAGAAAAAGTCATGAAGAGTACGATATCGACATGAAAGAGCTATGAGAGTGAATACAACACGTCTGAAAAGAATGAGAATCCATCTGACGGTGTGAATTGAGCGTGTCATAGAAAATAGCTTTTCATGCAGTCGTAACTGATTACAATATTACAATAATGAGAAACTCAACCGTCTAATTGTAAGTGGAAGTCCAGCGATGTTGAATACCATCATGAGCGTGCTAGCAAGATCTAAAAGTAACCTGTGCGATTCCCATGTGCACTAGTAATGTTAGGAAAGCAATCCGTAAGATCCGGCGAATTGACATCATTTAGAACCGATGCATGAAGTATGGTTCCAAGAACGCTCATTGCCACCGCGTGCAAATTAAACTGAGAGCAATAAAATACCAGAAATTGTGGTTAAAATCGGTGAGAAATTTCCGGATCAGCTTTCCGATTCTTCCTGACATTAAACGTAGAAATGATAAGTTCATGGATTAGGAGGGGTTAACTGCGGCCTAGTAGCCCACCAAAAGGGATAATCTAGCACCTGTAAGTGAGAACCATTGATCAGTGAGCATAGATGATACCGTCTCGTTTTGTTTAGCAAATGTTTGAAACGGGAGATTATGTAAGCGTTTCAGCCACTTTGAGGAATGGAAGAAAATTATCATATGCCTCATTTTCTGAACCCATCTCAAGTATTTCGGTGGCGCTCGTTCCAATACATTGTATCACTATTGATCAATATGTCATTATTATAGCAGCATTAGGATGACCATCTTCAAACTAAGCGTCTCCTCAGGTTTGCTCAGTAGTACGCCAATTTGTTTGCACCATTAGATTCCCCAGATTCTCTACTTTCAGAAATGCACATTTGTTGTTGAGCGATTTTGCTTCCTTCAGGAGATATAGCTGTTTTTCTGAAGCTATCTCAAGTAGCTTGGCGGCGCTCGTTCCAACACATTGTATCACTATTGATCAATGTGTACATTATTATAACAGCATTAGGGTGACCATCTTCAAAATAACCGTCTCCTTAGGTTTGACCAGTGACGTGGTCGTTTTTTCATATTTTTAAATTGATCAGATTCTCTAATTTCATAAAATATCGTTGTAATCGGACGTTTTTGTTTCCTCAAAAAAATATTGATGATATTCTCGTGTCATCTCACGCATCTAAGCTGCTCATTCCTATGTATTGTATGTTCGTTGATGAATGTACAAGAGGAATTAGCAATTTCAGGATGACCATTTTTAATCCCACGCTACTCTGATGTTCACTTGTAATCATGTTATGTCCTTTCAAATCTTAAACTCTTCGTATTCTTCAGTTTTAGAAATATAAGTATGTTGTGAGTAAATATTGCTCTGTATCCAAATATTGTCGAGCCTTTCGATGTATGCATGCAGGGATGATTTATATTACGCACTCAACAGTTTTGTTCATGTTTTCTTGAAGTATCTTATTGCTAGAAAGCGATTTGTTTATCAGAGCGATTCAAATACTCAGAAATTAAACATGTTGAATATCTCAATTGTATCAATCATCCTTTCACATGCGTTTCTTCTTGATTCAAGCTGATGATGATGATGCCAACTGAAAATATCTTACAAAAACAATCAGATATCGTTACTTCGACCATGTCCTCATACTTTAGTCTTCAGCCAAATTAAAAGTTCAAAATCGAGGCTTCCTTTTGATGATGTAATTTCAAATTGCTAATCAAAGATCAAAACTGTTTACACCGATATGTTCTCAATACAACGAAATTTCGCTAGAGACTTCCGTATGCACTATGTCAAAAAGCGTCAAACGATGTTCCATACTTGCAATGCTTTAAACACGTACGTGTACACCTACGCACGCTCGCATCCGAGGCATGATACTCAAGATTCATGACACCTCTGCATCCCTACTCTCTCCTACATTACTGTTCTATTTGCTTTCTTACTAGTCATCGCAGTGCTATTTCTACAATTCATGCCTTGATGACGAATGGAAACACCCCACCTGTCCATCGATTTTTAGCCACCATGATGGCTTAAATCACTTTCAGTTCACTTGCAATGATTTTATGGCTGTTTAGGTGCATTTTATTTAATTGATACTAAAGAATTTCAATGCCTCCGGATTTCATCCGGAATGGAAAAGCTTCTAAGATCCCAGGGAATGATCTCGGCGAAATTTCGTTTCTTTTTTCCACTGATGTTAGAATTAACTCGCTAGTGATATGACATAATAATATGTGCATGCTTTGTTGATCACTTCGTTGTGATCATAACAAGCACTCTATAATGTGTTAATACCAATTGATCACTACAGATCATATCGCTATGATTGATTGCCTTGCTCATTCAGTATTCATTTATTTCGCTCATATACGTTCTGTGCGGTAGAGTTGCGTTGCGCACTACATTTTTGTATGTGTTATTCATGATTTTAGTTCGCTCATGTATTTTCTGGTGAAATTCAGAATTGCGACGTAGATATTTTGAGATCACGCAACCTTCCAATTTTTCATATCAATGATATTCGTATTAAATCGCTCGGATTGTATTGAAATGAGCTTGGGGAAAATTACGAATTAATCATTTAATACTGTTCCAGGCCAAAGGTGATCAAGACCGGACAAACCGTGACAGTTTCAAGGACTGATTATCACCTGTCACTGATCATCACCTCGAATCAAAGGTGAGGATTTAAATCATTTCTGTGGTGGTTTAATTTGTTTGTTGGTGATATGAAATAACTTTACTGTCAATCAATCCTGTTAATTTCTCTTGATCTGGCAGGAACCTACCCTATAAGTATGGATATATTGTGAATATTCTCTATTAGAATGGTTGATGTATAAAACAGTTGTGCGATGACAGACATAATACTAATAGAGATGTTGATATTTTGGGTAATGTAGCAATGCGATATTTGCCCGAAAATGACACATCTTGTTAACATTAAACCGTTATCCAATTCTAGGTAGATTCGCATGCTGATAATTGTAACTGGATGATGAGACACCACATCCGATGGTGACGGGCCAATGGACGATTCGATAGACGTGGCGGTACCGGTTCGTCTTCGTCAATATCTCGTGGCAGTTTCAAAAACGATATTCAGCAGTATCACCTCAAATCAAATCAAACAAATCAAAGCAACAGCGATCAACATTCGAACGAATATTCAGCTCAACAATAATATTCGTCATTATTCAACAAATATGATACAGTGACGCAAAGAAGCGCCAGGTTAGTAGTTTTAGACTTATAATTAGAGACAGAGAATAAAATTTAGTCGTGGTCAGTGACCACTTTTTTAATCAGATCATTTTTATTCCTTAATTCATTTATGAATATTGTGAATTATGTTTGTATGTGTTGTTAATTAGATGTAAATCGTGCTTGATTTATAATTGATCAATTAAGTATAGAAGACAATACAGTGACAAATAGTATAGTGCATTGTTTAATGTTATTATTATCGATCATAAACTTGTGAAGATATTAATGATGCCTCGTATGCTTTAACTGGGGGGATTTTTTACTGCTCTTTAATACAGTTGTTAGTGTTATTTGTGCTATTTTATCACCTTCGTTCTGCGTTATTGTTATTATTGTTATCGTCACTGTATTGTCATATACTGAGAAGCTTAGCTCATTTGAAACAATTTGAAATCAACGGAAAAATCATAAACTCTGACTCAGACTATTACCTAATGGATTTTGTTTTCTATTTATCCTTTAAAATTGTGGATCAATTGATTTGTACATTACATATAATGTATATACTCATGTATATTGCCACAAATTATCATGTATGTTTTCATTATTTATTTATTTATTTATTCATTTTGAACATTCATCGTTGTCAGGAATATTGTAAACCTTTTTGTAAGGGATGTGGGTAGGGCGAAGGAGGGATGCGGCACGTAACGACCCGCTTAACTCCGGAGCCAGAGGTAGGGACTTGGACTGGCCTTATGTATGGCCCATCCCACCTGATTGAAATTTTTTTCAGTTTATGCACCTCACCATTCCCCCCCCCCTTCCCCCACTCCCCAATGTGGACTCCACTACGTGAATCTGTGTTGGACTCTAGCATAGATATGAGACTAGCACACTTGCTGATATGTATTGAGGTAGCTGTCGCAGCTTAACTTAATTTGATTTAACTTAGTCATAACTTTAACTTGACATAGCTTGACTGCGACTGTATTATAAGCT